TATTTTATAAAGTCTTCAAAAATAGCATGAAGTTCTCCTTCTAACTCTATCCGAGGCCCAGCCTCCGAGGCCAGCACTCCATCAACTACAGGGTAGATTTGTCGTTTAAAAAAAAAAAAAAAAATTCTAAAAAAAAGAAAAAAATTCTATCAAGTACAATGTGACCTATTTTCTGACCCTTCTCAAGTCGCCTTCCCCCCTGCTGCATATTTCATCACAACTTCCTATTTTATTTTCTTTGTGAACTTTGTGGTGTGTTGGTAAATGTTTAACACTGACTTTTCAGAGGAAAAGGAAAAAGAATACTTCAATATATAGTTCTTGCCAATACACCGGCCGTCAATGCTCCCACCGTGGCTAATCTAACGAGTTGTCACTGCAGGTGATGTCAGGACAACATACAAGTAATTGGGTCTTGTGAACAGTGTCAACAGGTTTCAGCATGCAAGTCTTTGTGACCATTACCACTGCCTAAGGTTATCTGGTTTGTCGTTTCTTTGTATTTTATCTGTTTCCCTTCATAAAAACTAAGATTCATGAAGAAAGGGACTTCTATGATTTCCACTGAATTTCTCCAGCCAAAGAAGAGTGCCCGGCATATAGCAAGGACAGAGAAAACATTTGTTGGTAAAAACACATAATTTTCCACTCAAGATTGAACATCTTAAATTTTTAAAAACGTTATGGCAATAGTTCTTGTTATTAAAACTTTACTACAAGTTATAGGTTGTAAACATTTGGAAATATTTCCTGAGTAGATGTGAGAGAGAGAGGAGTCCCGTATCACTTCTAAAAATCATTTTATCTTGCCTCTCTTAAATCAATTAGGCTTTCTCAAGGATTATGAGGTTGGGATGCATAAAGGAAAAAAAAAAGAAAAGTGTAAGATTTAAATTTCATCATAAAAAGATCAATCATAATTTCCAACTGTGAAAATAGAAAAATGTTCATTTCAAAATGAAACAAAGATATCATTTTATACTCAATGAGTTAAACAGGCATAAATAAAATATCCTACTACTTATTTTATGTGCCATTGCCCACGGCTGAATCAGAGTAAAAATTATTATACTTATGATTTATAGGATAACTGATAATGCAAAATAATGCCAGTAAGACCCTACCACTGAGGGATAATTATTCATATTTCAGATTTCTGTCTCTCAAAGTTCTTTTTTTTAATTTCTTTTGAAAGAAATAAAAAATAATTAGAATTGACTTTTTATATCTTTATTTCATCTTTAATTTTCTAACATCCAGCTCTGAATTAGTAACTCTTCATTTCATTCTGATGTGAATAATTTTTAATGTAGATGCTACAACACAAATTTTTTTCCTGGCCTGGATTTTATTGGTACATTTCATATATGATGGGCACAAAATAATTCATGAAAAGGTTCATTACATTCCTGTTAATTATATTATCTTTCACAACCTGACTCTCAAAGGCCCTCTTTGGCTTATTTTTCTTATCCTCTAAATGAAACAGCCTTTTTTCTTTTCTTTTTTTAAACCCAAACACATACTTATGCATGCTCTCCCATCTCTGGCTTTGCTCTTTTGCTTCTCAGGATGCCCTTCTCCTGTCACTATATTTTTGTATACCTGACATTTTTCTAGACCCAGTTCAGTCATCAAATCATTCATTCTTTGCGCAATACTTAGTCACTAATTGATCTGTTTTTTTGTTTATTACTTTGTTTATTGTCTTTCTTTCTCATGCAGAATATAAGCCAAGTGAGAACAGGGCTTTTTCTTGTTTACTGCTAAATCCCAGGGCCTAGAACACTGCCTAGCATATAGTAAGTACAATAAGCATTTGTTAAAGGAACAAATTAGTAATTTATCAGAACAGGTCTAAGGATTAAATATAGTAAGATTATTTATGATAATTTAAAAAGATAACAAACATTTCTATTACAAAGTATATACATCTTAATCTAATGTTATTTTGACAAAGCGGTGAGAACTAAAGAAGATAATGTGATATCTTGAATCAGTCAAAAATAATTTCTAACACCTAGGGTTGAAAGGATTCCAGTGTGCAGCTGCTATTTTCTTCATATGACCCTGCGCTTATTACACTCCATTTATAATCTAACTCATTTTCTTGGTATACTAATTTTTTTATGCAAACCTTCTCTTGATTTTGTCATATAATTCAAAAAGATTCAATTAAGTGAAACAGACCTTAACGTAGCTTTGAATGAAATTTTTAGCAAGAACAGATTTTATATTTCAAAATAGGTAGTCATTTTAATATTAACCTATATGGCTACAGGATGGATCCAGTATTGTAATTCTTTTCTCCTTTGACCCAAATTCCCTTTATGCATACCTTTCTTTGAAGATAAGTCACGCATTACGAGAAAGAGAGAGAGAGAGAGAGAGAGAGAGAGAGAGAAAGAAAGAAAGAAAGAAAGAAAGAAAGAAAGAAAGAAAGAGAATATATAATATAAAACGCTGGAATCCCTAAATCTTCAGTAATACAAAATGAAGTGTAGTATTTCTTAGCAGAAAGCACCGGGGCTCTTGAACCTGAGTGCTTCTACCCTTAAGCAAGTTGCTTAACCTCTGTAAGCTTCAGTTTACTTATCTATAAAATGGGATACCAGTATCTGCTCTTCTGGGCTACAAAGAGGAGAGAGAGCAACCTAGCAACAAGCCTAGCATATATTAAGTGCTCAATAAGTATTTATTGAGTGAATGAAATCCATTGAAAATATAGTTACCACTGAACTAAACTACTATAGATCATTTAATGAAAAAAGGGCAGTGTTCATGTATCCAAACAGCTACAAGTATAATTACAGGTGTTTCTTAACAATTCCTTCTTAATACACAATCAACAGAGCAGAACACATACAAATAGATCAAATACATTGACCTCGATGGAATACTATGGTTAGTAAAGTAGTGGTCCAGGCAATTATTCCTGAGACCTAAGGAGGATCACATCTCCTGAAGCAAAAGAAGAGGGTAAGGAACTTTTCTTATGTCTCTGCATGTCTGAAGTAGAGACTCACAAATACTATCAGAGAGAGTTATTCATCTTCCACAAAAAAAACCCCAAATTCTAACAGATACACAGTGTTCATTATTGATTTTCTACACCTGTATAGACCTAAGTAAGCTAAAGGCATTGAACTTGCCCCTAATAGAAACAAAAACTAATGAATATATGGTGATTTGTGCCTTCTTTTACTTTTTAATTTAATCCTTATCAAAACTCTACAGAGGCAACATGGAGAGATTACGAAAGAGCAAATTTTCAATTGGGGAGCTCAAAGTACAAGTCTAGAAGCATGCTATAAAATGTTTGGTACTGGGGATACATCAGAAAACAAAACGACAAAAAGCCCAATTTCCTAGACCTTACAACCTAGGATTTGTGCTGAAATAGGTACACTTATGGCTTTTAGACTTATGAATCAAGCCGCTCAAATATTCATAATAAAGTAGATTGTTAAAAGAACTACATTAGTGACCAGCGGATTTGTGTGTTCCTTTCATCCTCAATTATTGAATGAGGTTTGATATTTTGTGCAAATCCAGGGAACAGACTCTGCTGTTTATTATGCACAGTGTAACTTTTTTTCTGTTGTTTGGTTTAGGGGATGAGAATGATGATCATCAGCCAGAAGCTTGCTTCCTCCTGTCCTTTCCATGCTGCTTAGAGCACTTACTGCATGGAATTCTCACAGCTTGCTTGCTCATTTCTTGTCTCCCTACCTGGACTGGGCCATTGTCCACGGAAAGGACCACGTCTCTAATCTTTGTGGGCCAAGCACCTAGCACACTGCTTGCCACCTGGTTCAGGTGGAGTGTAGGTTTCTGGTGTGAGTAAGCGCGTACATACTTTCCTGTTTTCAAAGCAGTTCACATGCACAATATCATCAGGCCCTCACAAAACTCAGATTGTAGGGTAGAATTAGTTCTTCATTTTACAGAATCTCAGTGAAATTGAAGGTTATTAATTCCTTTGTTTGACAGATGAGTAAAGGGGATCCGTGAGAGATTCTGTGATTTCTGAAGAGCACATAGCTAAGACTTGAAATTCAAGATCAGAGTTCTTTCTTAAAAAACAAATGAAATACAGGCATGTTGAACTACTATTTTAAGTAGGTCTTTAGGATCTATTTGGTGTATGGACAGTCATCTTTGAGTTGCTCAAATCATTGGGGAAATCTTTTTTTTTTTTTTTTCCAAATGTAAAACATGGGATGGAAAAGATCTTCAGAAACCACCCATATTGTATCCGGAAGACAATGAAATAGATGATATGCCAATATTTTGCTGTAAAATCGTGTCTGCCTTCAAGGGTGCATTGCTAGCCAAAACCATTTTGCTTTGTCACGGGGAAGGGGGCTGGAGGCAGCTTTGCCATTTCTACTCCTGAACCACAGGCATCACCATTCTGCTTCTCTAAGATTTCTATGTGCTTCTTATTTTCTTGATCAGGGAATGAAAGTCCCTACAGTGGTAGCAGAGTGAAAGCCATCAGATGGGGTGAAGGGGTCACAGGCAGCATTTGAGGGTTCTAGTCACTGACCAACCGACTCTTAAACGACCCTTTTAACGACATCATGTCCCACAGGACCACAGGCTGCATGAAGGCAGGGCCTGTCCCCAGCTCCCCGTCGGCCCGTGGGCGTGGGCGGGAAGGCAAGCAGCGCTCCTGGCTTCCCGCCTGTCACGCAGGTTAGTCAATCATCAGTGGCCACTCTAGTAACCCCGGGTGCGGATCAACCCGAAAAAGGGCTGCCTACGTATTTTTCACACTGAGGGACACAAATCTCTCTCTCTCTCTCTCTGTGGTTTGATTTAAAACCATTTTTAAGAAGTTTGTGCTTAAGGTCCATTAGGTCCTTGGCAACCCCCTCCTGGAGTGACGGAGCCCTGGGTCAGTTACCCTGTACACCGTCAGGGCCGGGCGTTCCAAAGGAACTCGAACACAGAGTAGCAGCCGCTGTTCACGGAACCCCAGCGTTTCTGGACCAGAAGCATGTTCTAAGGGGTAGGCTTACTGGCTGGACAATTGCTCTTAATCTGGAAAAAAAAATCCATCCTCCTCCCCCCCACCCCGTGCCTCCCCCTGCACCCCCCCACCTCCCCCGTGCCCCATCCCTCCGCTCACCCCCCACACCTCCCCCCCGTGCCCCCCCCGCCCGCTCCCCCCGCAACCCCTCCCGTGCCTCCCCTCCTGTGCCCCCCCGCGCCCCATCCCCCGCCCCCTCCCGTGCCTCCCCTCCTGTGCCCCCCCCGCGCCCCATCCCCCGCCCCCTCCCGTGCCTCCCCTCCTGTGCCCCCCCGCGCCCCATCCCCCGCCCCCTCCCGTGCCTCCCCTCCTGTGCCCCATTCCCTGTCCCCCTCACGCCCCATCCGGCCCCCCCGTGCTCCCATCCCCCACCCCCCTCCCGTGCCCCCCCAGGCCCCTACGCCCCGCCCCTCCCGCGCCCCCCCTCCTGTGCCCCCCCGCGCCCCATCCCCCAGGCTCCCATCCCCGCCCCCCTCCCCCGCCCCCCCTCTTGCGCCCCCCTCCCCCGCCCCTCCCGGGAGGCGCACGCACTCCCCGCCCATTTCATCTGCGTGCGAAGTTGCAGGGGGCGGCCCGCGGGCTGCCCGGTTCGCGCTCGGCGGCCGCGCGGGCGGCGGAGCGAAGTTGCCGGCCAGTCGCCCTCCGCGCTCCGCTACCTGCGCCGCCGCCCCCGCCGCCCCCGCCGGCCCCCCCCGCGCCTCCCCGCCCCGCCCCGCCCCCGCGGCGCCCCCGCCCCCGCCCCCGCCCCAGTCTCCTCCTCTTTTTCTCACTACCAGCGGCCGCTGATGCTGAAGCGGAGCGTCGCTTCGGCTCCCGCGGCAGACATGGCGACACTGACAGTGGTCCAGCCGCTCACCCTGGACAGAGGTAAGGCGGCGGCGCCCCGCGCCCCGCGCCCCGCGCCCCGCACCCCGCGCCCCGCACCCCGCGCCCCGCACCCCGCGCTCCGCGGCGGCCGGGCGCGCTCGGGCAGGGGCGGCGGGGGCGGGCGCGCAGAGCGGGACACTTTGCCCCCTTCCGCGCCCCCCGCGCCCCCCGTGACCCCCGCGCCCCCCGTGACCCCCGTGCCCCCCGCGCCCCCCGCGCCCCCCGTACCCCCGGGGCGCCGGCTTGTCGGGGCGGCGCAGGCTCCCGGGGGGAGGGCCCGGAGCCCGCGGCTGCGGGGGTAGCCGGCGGCGGCCCGGGGGCGCGGGCGGGAGCAAGTTTGTCGGGGCGGCGGGGCCGGGGCGGGGGGGGCGCCCGCGGGGGTCCGGGCGGCGGCGGCGGGGAGCGGCTGTCCCGGGAGCCCCCAGCCCGGAGCCTCGGCCTCGCCGTCCCCCAGCCCCGGGGCCGCGGAAGGCGGGCTTGCGGCGCAACTCGTGGCGGAGGCTGGGGTCCCCGGGGCGCTGCGCCGCCCGCCCCCCCCTCCCCGAGGCCGCCGCCCGACGCGGGGAGCGCAGCGCTCGGGGGCTCCGGGGGCGCGGGGGGCGCGGGGCGGGGCGCGGGGCGCGGGGCGGGAGCGCATATCCCGCAGCTGCAGCCCCGCACTGGCCGGGCCGCCGGACTGCAAGGCGCCGAGCAGGTTCCGCACGGAGCCCGCAGCCACCTTCCTTGGGGGCTGAGAGTGCAGAATCTAAAAAAAAGAGAAAAAAAAGAAACAAAGAAAAGAAAGAAAAAGAAAGGTAATAGTTGATTGCTGCCAAATGCTGATGTGCAAGCCTGCAAATTAGGAGCGGTGGTTACAGAGCTCAGAAACCCACCGTGCAACGCAGGATTCCAGCCCGGGATCGTCACCGACCCTACAGCAGCGTAAATCCATTGCCGCCACGACCCAAACAGATGGCAAGCTATTAGGAATTATGGATTTCCCACGAATTTCTGTTTTAACGTAACGAGCTCTTATATTGCCTCATTGACTGAATCAGCTTGTACATATATATCCCCAGTAAAACGACTACACTGGGAGAAAGAAAAAAAAAAAAACAAACTCCCAAGAAAATTGCCTTCCCTGAGCAAGCTGATGTATCAGGACTACTAAAAACGTTTTGCTCTTTGGGTTTCTGCCTCAGACCTTAGATTTCCTGACTGGGTGGTGCAGAGGAAGCGCTATCGGACCTAGATCTGCCCTTAAACTTTGTTCTTGTTTGCAGCCAGACTGTACCTGCCCTTTCCCAGTGTGATTGGGTTCACGTAATAAGTAGCTCAAGAGGCAGAATGAGACTGGATGCAACTGAATAAATGAACCAGCAGCTAGCTGCAAGCTCTGTGATTGATGGATGATGAGTTATTGGCATCATTGCTGTACATGAAGTCAATGCGTATGCGTATTTTAACCTCTACCTTATTAAAATGTGATTAATGAGTTGATGGCATCATTTAAACCAGTGAAAGAAAAGGTTCTGAAAACTGTTCCTACCAAAAAAAAAAAAAAAAAAAAAAAATCTGTCTAAAAAGGCAGCTCACCAACACTTATCTGGGTCCTATCTGGGTAGAACTGTGATGCTCACCCCGGACGGCTGGATTAGCCTCCTTGGGCACCAGCTTTCCTCTGTGCTCCGCGAGAAATTTGGAGTAGATGCTTCTGACACTGGGCAGCTTTAACAGTCTATAATTCAACTAGGTGAAATTAGAAGTCAGTTTCTGATCATCTGCTGGCAGTTTTTCCAGATTAGTCCTTCTCCCTGGTTGTTTTGGTGCCTTTTGATGTGCTCAGAGGTCACCCACTGATTTGGCCCCATCAAAGCATTTCTCAGAAAAAAAAAAAAAAAAAAAAAAAAAAAGCATTTCTCAAAGCATGCTGTTGCATCTGTCTCCTTATTGAATGGTGCTCCTGGACGGAAGAGACCATTTCTAAATTCACTTTCCTAGTCTCAGTACCTGCTATATTTCCTGACTCACAGTAGAAGATAAAAAATTAACGTGAACTAAGGACTGCAGTAATTTAAGCAATGTTAAAAGGTAGGGTTTTAGTAGTGAAGCTGAGATACAGTTCATAGACTCATGACGCGTTGGCCCTGGGAAAGATGGCAGGAAGAACACAGGCCAGTGGTTCTTAACCTTTCATTTCCCCCGTGTACTTGACAGATTCCCATCAGTAACCACAGCTCACCGAAGCTGTGATGATTAATAGCCAAGAGGGGCTGGGGCAGGTAGGCAAAGGAGAAGGAAAGATGATGCTGGACAAAGCCTCCCAAAGGCATCTCAGCAAACTTGAACGCATAAATCCATAATTTGATTTTTTTTCTTCCTAGCGTCTTTCTTTTCAAGTGAAAAATATTGAAGAGACAAGAAGTCTTTTCAAGGTTACTCTACTAGTTAGTGGGAGATTTTATGCTAAAATTTAAATCTTCTTGTTTGAGGCCCTTTGGCACCATAAACTGATTTATCTGGAATCTTCAGGGTGAGGGTTTTAAGCAAAGAAATCGAACATGTGGATTGAAATTAAGATTTACTCCTCTCAGAATTCAGAAGATGTTGTGGGAGAGTAAGCAGCTCAGAAGTCTGCACTAGCTTCTTGGATCTTGTTTGGGAAGCAAGTCTTTACCAGGATCAGCCTGAGCCCTGAAAGGATGAACCAAGGGACTTAAGGTTTTCACCGGGCTGTGCAGATTCCAAACTCTTTTCCATCTGCCAGTAAGACCTCATACTGACCCTGTGTGGGCCTCAGTATGGCTATGGCTGGAGGGGGCTCCTGTTTACTCTGGTCCCCAGTCCTTTGGATTCTTTACTTACTCACTGAGTGCCTGGTAGAAGCCAGACCCAACTATGGAAGGGTTAATTGGCTAATACAGTGGTGAACTAAACAGACATAATTCGAGTCTCTGTGGCAATTAGAGCCCGTGGCGGGAGAGACGTTAAGACACACGCACACGGGATCCCTGGGTGGCGCAGCGGTTTGGCGCCTGCCTGTGGCTCAGGGCGCGATCCTGGAGACCCGGGTTCAAATCCCATATCGGGCTCCCGGTGCATGGAGCCTGCTTCTCCCTCTGCCTGTGTCTCTGCCTCTCTCTCTCTCTCTCTGTGACTATCATAAATAAAAAAAATTAAAAAAAAAAGACACACGCACACACACATATACACAAAAAATTCACTCATTCAACAAATATTCATTGAATGTGCGTATATATACACACACACACACACATCTTATATATTGTATATACTGTTTCTGTGCTGTATCTATAATATTTAATATATAAACGTAAGAAACAGGGTCACCTGAGTGGCTCAGTGCCTGAGCATCTGCCTCTGGCTCAGGTCATGATCCTCTGGTCCTGGGATCAAGTCCTGCATCAGGCTCTCCGTGGGGAGCCTGCTTCTCCCTCTGCGTATGTCTCTGCTTCTCATGAATAAATGGATAAAATCTCTAAAAAGAATAAAATCTCCTAAGAAAGTTTCTGCTTTTCTGGTCCTTAACAGTGTAGTGGGGGAAACAGATAACAAGTAAGAGATTGATTAATTAATTCAACAAATAAGTATCGAGTGGCAGCCTTATGGAAAGCACTATCTTCAGCTTTGTAGCTAATGAACAAAACAGATAAAGTCTAATGGAGTTTACATGCTAATGAGTGAGACACGGATCACATACCCATGCAATTGTAAGTGCCCGTGAGAAAAAGTAAGCCTGGATCAAGGAGAGTGGCAAGGTCTGCTGTTGTTGATGTGATAGTCAAGAAAGGCCCTCTCTCCTGAATTGATGACATTTGAGAAAAGATCCAAAGGAAATGAGGAAGCAAACTTTGCAGATATCATGACGGGGTGGGGGTGGTGGGGATGCACTCTAGTAGTGCATCCTGGGAACATCGAGGAAATCAACGTGAAAATGGGAGCCTGGGGAAGTGTGGTGGAAAGTGAATGTGTGAAGGTGGTGGCTGGGTACCAGATGATGCAATTTATGGTTAGGATTTTAGATTGGTGGAAAGTACGAAGTACAGTGAAGACAATAAAAATGACGTAAGGATGGAGAATAATGGGGAAGGACCTACTTAGATTGTGTTGGTCAAGGAAAGCTCCGTGAGGAAAGCAAAATTTAAACTGACTTCTGATGTATTAATAGAGTTTTTAGGAACAGCATTCTGGATAAAGGGAAGAATACACATAAAAGCAACCTGTACATCTGCATTTTGGCTACTGTCCTGCTAGTACATCTATAACCAAACAAATGATTGAAAAGAAAAATTACCAAGAAGTAGCAACACTCCAAGTATGCATCCTAGGGTAGAAATTTGGTTTTAAGTATACCAAGAAAATCTATAGATCAGCTTCTTATTGCTAGGCTAAAATATCACATAATTAGATTTTCAAAGCCGTACTGAGCACTGTAATTTATGTCACTATGCATAAATCTACATGTTGAACCCAAGTGGTCATAATATGAGATACAATTATTTTTAGTCTAATATTTTATATTAGACACTGATGTAGAAAGTAGTACCTGTGATTTACCCTTGTGGCAAAGAGAAGAGACTGATAAAGATATTAGTGTGGACTCTTCTCTGCCAGAATTTAAAATGTTTATAGTAATTCTTCCCTACACCAGAGGTTAGTTTGCCCCGATTATAATCTTTAAAACTAGGAATGACCTTCAGCCAAACTCAAAAGAACAAAGCAAGATGCAATCCATGATACTTAACACTTTCATAACAAAGGACATAGGAATACATCACTGCAATCAAGGCTTCATGGATTTAGGCACTTTCTTAAATACGGTAGCTCCAACTCTCCTTCACTTCATGTCTCAAGGTCAGAAAAGATAATACAACAGAATTCTTCAAAATTTCACTTCTCTTTTTTTTCTTAGAGCTTCATTTTTTTTAAGATTATTTATTTATTTATTTATTCATAGAGACGGGGGTGGGGGGGGGTGGGCAGAGACACAGGCAGAGGGA